AAAGTTCTGTTTCTAAGGGCAATCAAAACTAGCTACTACGAGACATTGGCTCTTAAAAACACTAGTTAAGGTGTTTTTCAGAAACAGTTAAGAACACACGAGTCGTTTGCAACAGTCTGGTGTTCTGCTGGCTTACGAATATAACTTCGGATTTACTAACAAAGTAGAATAATTGTCAGTAAAGTAGAACTCAATGACAGTAATAATAATAGTTGTTCTAGATTAAATAAATCGTTATTGAGATATTTAAACCAGTATATTCAATTTATAGAGATTATTTTATATTATGAGACAGTTGTTTTCACGATAACATTTTTAACTGGCTCGTGTATGTAAAATATCAAAACATTAACTGTTAATGTGATTTTCACTTGTTTGAAATGAAATATTTTTTTTTTATAAATATAATTTAATTTTATATACTAAATATTATTCTCATATCACCATTCAATAAGAAGAAAAAAAAAGATTCATAAAGTATAAAAACTATAAACAAGAACTTAGTATATCTAATACGAACTACGCAACTAGTTAATAGTTCGTAGTAGTACTTCATAGTTTTTAAAAACTTCAAGGGTTGTTATAGCATAACTTTATTATGTAAGTTACTTTATCGCATCTAAGGAATTTCTCAGGGACGGATATTTTAAAGTTGAAAGACTTTGAAAGTAATTCTTAATCAATAAAATGTTCGAAACATTCAGAATCTTATGATTATTAAAATTCCTTCAACATATTTTTAGAAACACTTTCTAACTCCTGAAATATTTAAAATTTTCTGTACATTTTAAATGACAATGAGATCATTAAATCCAGTCACGCCAGCTTAACGACCTAAAAAGACATAGATTCTAAAACACCGTCCAACATACACGTATGCTTCTGATGGCTTCCTTCTTAAAGTCGTGCTTGTAGAGTTAGATCTATTATTGTACGCTGTAAATGTATTATTCACCATAACATTTTTATAACTTCATTGTTATATATTACACTTTCATGCGAATCTTTTGCTCCTGTTGTAAATTTAAACGTATTTTATTTTGTTCACAACTTTTGTTATTTATTTACACCTTTAACACATTATTGAAGGTTTAATATTTTCTTTGGAATTAGTAATAAGTAATGAGGTTTAACCTGATAATAGTCGAAAAATCAAATTTATAACTTTACAATAAGTCCCATCTTAAGGCGTTATCTATAACACTAATATAAAAATGACTGGTTCGCTGTATTGTGGGCTTTAAAGATGTATGTTTCCGAGAATCTGCATTTTTAATCTAAGTTCTTAAATCCTACGGCATATGCTAAGTAAAGTATTATTAAGTTAAAAAAAATAGGTAAAGAATCGGTCAATCTCTTGACCTAAAGTTTCAAGTATCCTTTTATTTTAACCATTTATTAATATTTTGTTACTGTACGAAATCAAAAATAGTTTTGGTGCGTGCAATATACATATTTAATTTATTAAAAATGCATTATTGCACAAGACATGGAAAAAAAGGGGAAAAACAAATCATAAAGTAAGTACATACATGGTGCGCAAAGGCGGTCTTATCGCTTATAGCGATCTCTCACAGACAACCTTTGATGAGAGGAGCTTAGAACGAAAACAGGTAAGTGAAGAAAAAGATACAGAAAAATGAGGAAAAGTACAATATAATAATATTAACACTAAGGTATAGTAATAAACTACACATAACTACATCCCAATAATACATACATAGAAATAAAATATATATCAAAATTTATATACTTAAATATAAACTTCATACTACATATTACATACTTGCATACATTATTTAGATAGAGATAGGTAATAGTTTCTCAAAGGATGCTTAAATATTGTAAAGGATTTAGATTTAGTATATCAGTGGGTAGTGCATTCCAGAGTTTGACAGTTTTCACAGTGAAAGAATTACTGTAGATTTGTGTCCGGCTGCAGGGTGTGACAAGTTTGTTGTCCTCATATGTGTTCATTAATGTGTAGTTAGCCCAGAAATACAATACTTTGAGTGTTTTCAAACTTTACTAAGTGCCGACGCTTTGTTTAGAACAGTCTGGCGCTCATCCAGTTGGAGATAAAAAATTACTTCTATATTACTAACAATGTTATAAATTTATAAATGAAGTAAGAAAAGTAATTCAAATCTTCATATATATTCCCGAAATTCAAAATTATATATATTTTAAGTACGATAAAACCAGCTTTTAGGAAAATTACAGCCGTAATTATTACATTAAATTCTAATTTATGAAGGTTTATTTTATTTTATTTACATCCCAGGTTCCATATTTCAAAGATTATTTTAGGAGTAAATTAGTTACAGAAACAAACAATGACATACATTTAAAGCTGGTAGTTTTTGTTTTTAGTTCTCTAAGTATAATTACTTACCAATATTATAAACGGTTGTTGTGATCTTTTTACTTACCTGAAAAGGAAAATTTTGTCTTTAATGTTGATATATGTAGCATATTTTTAATGAAAACGTAGAAAAGCATCTTACTATTAAATGGAGCTGTTTATTTAATATATTATATTACTTTCTATTATTATATCTAAATATTTATTCGATGAGTAGAAACATAACTTCAGTCTATTCAGTACATGGTTGAATATGAAGTTCCTCGGTTAGAAAAATATTTTCTGCTCCATTTCACATGTATATTTAACGTTTTCAGTAATAAATTCTCATCTAATAATAGAAATAATTCATGCTCAATTCTCGATAAGAAAAAAAGTAAGTAATTGATATTACAAGTTCTAATAATGATAAAAACTTTAATTAGAAATGTTGAATATTTAGTTTATTTACTGAACTTAATTTAAGAGGTGAAGTTGAAAAGTATTTCTATTTACAATATTACCAAGTCACGAAAAAGTTTTATATTGAAACTTTAAATTAACCAAAGAATATTTTTCAATACAGGACATATTTAATTAAACTCAAATGAATACTGGGTTTTAAATATTACTTCACTTCAATAACATGTTAAATATTTTTGTTTTTAAAAGTAATGAATGTGGAAATTAAAATAAATTATTACAGAACAACATGTACGTATTTTAGCTAATTTCCCGTCGCTCACACTGTATACTTTGCTGCAAAGCGAGAATAAAATCTACCGACTTAATCTCTATCCCCCTCTTATTTTTACGTATGTGTGTTTTTCTTTGGACGCTACTATGTAGTTGCTAACGCGGGCGCTGGTCTGTAACTCGAATAGATCGCGCGTGCGATCGAGCGGTACGCATTACCTCCAACTCTGTCTCTTTTACGTTAAGTGTTTTGCGTTTAACGCAACCTTGTTGGAAGTCGCATAAGAAGATTGACTTTAAAATTATTAAAAAATATATTGATGTTGAATAAATATATTTTTCATTATAAAAAAATGTAATAATTGTGTGCTAATAATATATATATATATAAGTAACAAGATATAATTAATTTATTATTGGACCCAGACACTAATTTACACACAGATAACATTAAACGGTATATTGCTTTGAAATAAAGATAAAATTAATTGAGTTTTATCTATGACCCAGCTTATATATTCATTGTTCTTAATGATGCTATAATGAGTCTTTGAAACTGGTAGAATAATTGTTAAAAAATAATTTTTTTTTATCAATACCCCATATTGAAAAGGGTGTAGAAACTATAATGTATATAAGAAACTATATTGTTTGAAACAATTAATACACATTATATTAATTATTTCCTGCGGCAAACAACAGAATTTTAATCATTCAAAGGTATTTCATTGATTGTTATCGAATTTGAACTCAATGAAATTGAAATCTTTAATTAATTTTCATCGGATGTTGATAAGTTTTATTTTAAGTATTTATGTCTCTCGCCCATAAATGTACGAATATATATTTTTTTTTTAATATTTCATGACGAGAGAAAAAGAGAGCACACAGGAGTGGACAAATCTCTTGCAGTAAAACAATTTTAAACTTAAAAAGTGAAAGGCTTTATTTTGATCAATTATTGTTCATCGAGTAGCTCGATATTTCGTTAATCACACGGTGTCACAATGGATACAATGATACATTCATTAAGTTTCTGATTTTGTCTGCACGTTCCATTAATATTATATCACTAGTTTTTGCCCGCGACTTCGTCCGCGTTAGTTTGGTCAAGAGTAATATATGTAGGTATAGCTGACCAGGCAGTGGTGGCCTAGTGGTTAAAGGGCCCGCCTCTCGTTGCCGAGGGCGCGGGTTCGATCTTGGCCCGAGCAAGTACCAATGTGATTTTTCCGAGTCATATGTACTTTCTAAGAGTATTTAGACATCACTGATTTATGTTGATTCCCAAAGAGATGGTTGATGTCAGGCAGGCGGCCGGTCGTCAAAACAAATAGCCAAAACTATTCACAACCATGTAAGGCAGACTCTGGCTATAGCTGGGAAATTGCCAGGTAGAAGAAGAAGCTGACCAGGCAAACTCTATTCCGTCTTAGAGGCCATAAATAATCAGGTTTTTCCTGTTTCAATCAAACAGAATGATTGACATATTAGTTGTCAAATCTAATGTCAAAAAAAACGTTTGTATGGGAAATAGAAAAAGGCTGTTTTTAGGGTTTTCCCGGCAATTATTCCAATTTTTCTCACCTTTTAAACCTTTCCTGGACTTCCAGGAGTATTTCAAGACTAAAATTAGCCAAATCGGTTCAGCCGTTCTCGAGTTTTACCGAGACTAAGGAACAGCAATCCATTTTTATATATATAGAAGATGATATAAAAGGATTTTTTACTGAGGTGATAAAAACCACATGGAAAATACAATGGAAGTCTGAAATAAATTTTTTTGCAACCACCATTCAGGTATTTGTGACTTAAACGTCAATTGCTAATTCTCTTTTTTTTTAATTAACATTTTTAGTGTAAAATTTATAAAATTTTATTTTTAACGTCAATAATGCTGTCAAAATAAAATGACTCTTGTGACTACGTAATTGTTTTGGTAGCATAATTGGTAGCATTGATGATAGAGCTTACGGTGCCTTGGGAAACCAACATCCCCAAAGACCATGCCATCAAGGTCAATAAGTATTACGAGCTCACTAACGAACTAACTCGAAATAGGTTCGTCGTTGATTTGTACGCGGTAGAGGTGGGAGCGAGAGGTATAACAGCTAAATCTCTCTATAATCTACTAAAAGACTTGGGCCTGTCCAGAACTAACATTAATTCATTCTTAGAACGTACGTCGAAGGCAGCCCTAGTGGGTTCTTTTCAAATTTGGTTGGGTAGGGAGAGGAGCTTGGACAGTGGAGGTGAGCGTATAACGCGCGTTAGTTAAGGGGCCCCTTAAACCTACACCTGGGTCGCAAGTCCCAGGCACTGTTGAAGCTCCTCTCCCTGCAACGCGATGGACCCGGCACCCGCACGGTGAATCCATCGAATGCTAAGAGGTTTCGTCTCTCTTGCTTTTGGAAGATGTTAAACTCATTAACCTTACGTATACCTACTATATTTTTTCATAGATCTTGAGCTAAAACAGAGATTTAGGAATATAGAGAAATTTTAGGTGGTAGAGCCGAGCTGTGGTTAAGTTATTACAGCTCAAACATGGGATGGCTCGACCGGGGAAGTACCACCTCCTCACAGAAGATCTGCGTGAAGTAGTCGGTAATGACTGCGTTTCGTCTGATGAGTGATAGAGCCGGTTGCCCTTTCCCTGTTCCCACCCTTTCCTTGTATTTCCTTATTACCACCCCTTCCTTTTCCTCCAGAACTGAGGTAAGTAACGCATCAGCAGCATTTATGTTGCGGATGTCCATGGGCGACGGTCACTACTGAGCATCAGGTGGACCGTCTGCTCGTTTGCCACTTTTATACATAAAAAAAAATTGCTTATTTTTATATACTGACTAAAATTTAATTAAAGTTTGTCAAGAAAGTCAAGTCACTCTCTACAACTTGCCATAGAAAAACAAGGACCTAAAGCATTTGAGTTTATTTTACACAGTAGTGTATTGAGACCTTAAAAAAGTGTGATGTACCTCCATTTAGAGTCTTAAAATATTCACAATATAGATATTTATACATACAAGTTGTTACATATGTAAACTGACTTTGAAATAAATATATATATGAGTTTAAAAAACAAAGAATAATATATGGTTCTTGAATGTAATTTTCTACACCATCTTTTTTTATATATCGCAAAAATGGATATTTAAGAAATTCAGATAATAGAAGATTTTAACAATACAAAGGCACCAAAAAAGGAATCTTTAAAGCAAAACACAAAAGAACAAGTAGAGATACAACAAAAGTTAGAGATGCTTTTCAACAAAGCATAAAATAAAAGAGGTAGGTTGTTTGAATGGAATGTAAAAAAATATAAAAAATACATAAGAACATGACAAGGTCAATTAGGCAAAAAAGGTGTTGAGAGACCAAAAATACTTCGTCTAGAAGACTAAAAGGCAAGGAAAAGCAACAAGTGAAAAAAAAATGAGAAACCCTAAATAAGTTTTTTTCAACAAGGAAAAAGTAAAGGATTTGATAATTACAATATTATTTCCATTTCACTAACAATTAACTTTTTAATTATAATACTTTATATGAATATTTAGTATAATGCATAATTAATATGATTTTATAAATTGCGCAGTATTAATATTTTTTTGTTTCTTTTAGACTGAATAACACTTTTCGATATATAGTTGTAAGTGATAGTCGTATTGCTAAATATATCCACAAATTTTGCTACTACTAACTAAAAATGAAGGTTTTAAACTGTGAGTACATTTTAATATTTTAATTATTTTATTTAGTTTTATGCTAAAATAATTTGAACGCATGTAAATGATCAGTTCTTGCATACAATATACATAAAAAATATAAATATTATAAGAAATTTTCTTCTGTAAAGTAATGGATTATCCCGATAGGTTTATAATATTATTAAAATATTAATCATCATCGGCTTATCAGAGCCCACTGCTGAGCAAAGGCCTCTTTCTCACATGGAGAAGGTTTGAGCATTAATCACCACACTTGCTCAATACGGGTTGGTGATTTCAAACTTATAAATGTGAAACTATAAGTCCAGGTTTCCTCGCGGTGTTTTCCTTCACCGTATGTCAGTTGTGTCTAAATACTCTCAGAAAGTACATATGACTCGGAAAAATCACATTGGTACTTGCCAGGTTTGAACCCGCGCCCTCGGCAACGAGGGGCGGGCCCCTTAACCATTATATTAATAACATCGATAAATGTATATATTTTGTAAGAATCGTGTTAAACTTCTAACCCAGGTGGATTTGTTGAAGAAACAGTTTATGAAGTAGTCATTTATTATATTCATACATAATATTATGTTTCAGTGATACTGAATATTTTCTGTGTTTGCAATGGTCAACAGTCAGTGTTTCTTTAGTTGTGAGGCGGTGTATCAACCAGTCTGCGCGACTAATGGAAGAACGTACAGTAATAGATGCAAGTAAGTGATATTAATTGTAATTATAAGTCAAATATAGAATTAACAAATCGATGGCGGTAGGTGATAAATAACAAGACCAACTGACAGACATTCACATCTCGTCTGCCCGTGATCACGGTTGCTGAAAAGTAGCCGAAACGTCGGGAGTATGTAGTTTTCTATCAAAAATAAAGTCGCGAAGAACATCCGAAAAATATTGGTATGATTTAAATCAAATATAAAGTTTTGTTTGTAAAGTCCAGTACTATTTTCAAATCTGTATTTTCTTTAAAGTTAACGTGTATGAACTTACGTTTTTCGCCAGTTTTTTATGTTTTAATGTAAAAAAATTAATTTCATAAATAATGGCATCTAATACTTTCGCGAGTATTTATTGAAATAAAAGTAATATTCTTGGGATTTACTACGAATTTATAATTAATTTTAAGTACATACTCCCGAAGTTTCCATTACTTCGCAGCAACCGTGATCACGTACAAACCAGATGAGAATGATTTTAATGATAAGTTTTATTTCAAATATCATGTATTTATTTAAACCGCTCTAATTCATATTTGCAGCATGCGCTGCGAAGGGCAACATTTAAACGCGAGGGCGAGTGCTAACAATAGGTCTAAGAAAATCTAAAATATTTTTTTTTATCCTTCCATGTTTTACTAAGAAGACGGCTTACTTTTTGATCTAAACTCCGGAATCTTATTCCGTTGACTTGTAGATGCAGAGTATATCAAATGAAAAACTTGAATATGTTCCTAAAACAGTCCATTTCAAACGAAACACTAACACTTTGAATAGCTTCATTATGTTAATTTCCATACTTTGATTAAATAGTTTGATTTTCGAACATTAATACGTGAATAATAAATATAGAACAATTCGGAATTCTTAAGAGTCATTGTTCTTACAGCGCACTTTTGGTTAAAATACTTCACGATAATGTTTCTTGATGTTTTTTTAAGACGGAGAACAATGAAATGGATGGGTCCAAGCTAAGCGGTAAACTATGTATATATAAAATCTTTTCTTCTGAAGTTAATTTTCAGTATTTTAAAATATTGTATACTATCATTGATGTCATAAATAATTGTAGAAACGAATTTATTTTAGTAGCAGTTCATTAATCATCAAACAAAATGCTTCTATATGTATCTTCTATATCTATATATAATAAAATAAATTTTAAAAATAGGCTTTATAATAACGGATATACCTAAAATTATGACTTTACAGGAAGGAAAGTAAATAGTCCCTGTACCCACATAATTTTTGGAAGAATAAAATACTATTTCAATGTTTAAATTATATAATCGCATGATTTTTATTTTATTGGTCATCATCATCACTCACAAGTTTACGTTTTAAATATACCTATAATTTAAAAAAATATTCCTAAAATACAGTCTTTTGTTTTTCATTATTACTTTTTCGATATCCTTGCTTATCGCTGTTATAAACAATATGTCTTAATAAGACTGTCCCGGTGACGCCGAGTGTGAATAAGGACGTGGTGTCCATATCTCGGGATGAAGATCTAGAAATTATAAAGTTTTGGGATTCAACGGGAGATTAAAAAAATCACAAAGCTTGACAACTGACAAGTTTGGATTGATATCTTAAGTGTGGTACAATTTTAGCTGCAATTATGAAATTTATTATACTTAAAGACACTTCTGAATTATTTCTAAGTATTTACAACAAACGAGTGTATAAAAGATTTCGCATTATTTTACAAAATACAAAGTATCGGGTAGATTGTAGATCAAAGAGCTCACAAAACTCAGTAAAACCTCAAAGTTGTGAAAAGATAGCGAACTTTATTTTTTCCTAAGATTAATTTTAATGTCTTTTTGAATGTTATATTATAACCTAAATTGGAACAACATCAACAGAAGGGATTTATTTATAGATAACGTAAGAAATTTTGGGTTTATATGAAAATAGAACAAAATCACTACTTTATTTTAGTATGCAAAAATATCCTTTTTTCTTTTTCTATAAAAAATCTTGTTGTTAATGACAAGCGTATAAAAACATTATGCAATACGTTCATATTGCGCGAGTTTTCCATTTGCTCATTATGCACGTTCAGAAATTAATAAGCGGACATTCTTAAATTTATATTAAATTTAAGCATTCATTAAGAATTATGTATATTATATACAAGACTTTTAAGAAATAAAACGATAAATCTTTGTTTTTGTTTTGTATTTTTGTAAGCAGCTGAAGTTTAATGTTGGAAGTTTGATGGGAAAATGTAAACATTCACAAAAACTTATGAGTGAAAGACGAAAGTTTACTTACAATATATGTACTTTTTACGGTGGAATTTGGCCCACTCTTGTGAGTATCTGAACGTCTCTACGTTCCACACTTTGTAGCTACAAAAAAGATGAAGAGTGAGAATAACCCTTTCTTTGCTCTACACTCATCATCTCACCTTACCTATTTCTATGCAAGATAATTTAAAGGTTCGATATAAATATTAGAGCTCAACGATTTTTTTATTTCAATATAAATAATAATTAATATATTCAGATCTATGTATTTCATTTTTAAGGAATTATAATAGGTAAAAACATACAGCAAGTCACTATTAGTAAATTCGATTCTCACATATTTGTTTAAAGAAACTTGCTTTATAATTATAAATTAGAATGTGTTCATTTCAATAAAACATTAATATGAATGTATTTAATGTTTGCTGTGGGCGGAGCGTGATGAACAAACTTAACCGATCCGCAATGCGGAGAAAATATAACGAATGATTAAATGAATTAGAAATATACATGTGAAAAAATATATAATTTAAGTCAGTTATAACATATATATATATATATATATATATATAT